AAAAAAAAAAAGAGTCATGAAGAATCGTGAGAGGTTCGATATGCTAGAAGAAAGCATGAGGTCCCTTGGCAATGGACAACACGTGGTCAATGAGAACATGGCGAAGTTGGAGCTCATGATACACAACTTGGCGGGGAAGCTCGAGAGAGTCAACCACCACACGCGGAGGAGCCGCACATCAAGGTCGACCATGGCAGGAACGGGCAGTTCGACATCTAGTCGCGATGACAATGACGAGCGGTAGCGGGCGATGCGCGCGACCCGCACAACCCGACACCACGGCGATCGGAGGACGCACGACCATCGGCATCATCGCGAGGAGTATGCACGTGCGAGACCGAAGATTATGATGCCGATGTTCGAAGGAGTAGATCCGGATGCATGGTTAAGTCGTGCCTTGCAGTTTTTCGAGATCAATGAGGTACACAAGTCTGAAAGAGTTCAAATTGCTGCGTACTACTTGGATGGTGAAGCCAACACATGGTGGCAATGGGTGTCACATGTTTACAAGAACAAAGGCGAGCAAATCAGGTGGAGAGATTTTGAGAAGGAGCTGATTACCAGGTTTGGGTCTAGTGATTATTTCGATTATGATTAGGCTTTGACAAGGATTCTCCAAAATGGTAGTCTACGCGACTATCAAAAGGAGATTGAGAGGATTGCAAGCCGGGTACGCGATTGGCCCGAGAGTGCACTTGTTGGTGCATTTGTTGGAGGTTTAAAGGCTAAGTTAGCTGCTGAGGTGCGATTGGACAGGCCAAGATCGACAAGATCCACGATGGAAGAAGCACGACTGCACGAGGATCATCTCGTGGCAGTGCACAATGCAAGCCCGAGCGAGGAGCGCACGGACGTTCGGTGCGCGAGCGTCGCGGTCGACGACATGCCCCCACGGACCGAGAACAAACCGGAAATCGGTGACGGTACGCGCATAACAAGTAGCTTTAGACGGTTGACGGATGATGAAATTCAGAGGCGCAGAGAAAAAGGCTTTTGCTTTACTTGCAACGAGCGATTTACACCAGGCCATAAGTGCAAAGGTAAGGATGTTTATTTGTTGGAGTTTGAGGAAGAGCATTATAGTGAATTACTTGAGAAAACCTGGCTGCATATGTTAAGTGCAAAAAACGGGGCCCTAAGATGATCAGGTTTACTGCCGAGATAAAACATATGCTACTAGAGGTACTGGTGGATAGTGGGTCGAGTTTGAATTTTATCGACGAAGGAATAGCCAGGAGATTGAAGTTGGAACCCACAAAAGTCAAGAGGTACGGGGTCAAGGTAGCCAATGGGCATGAACTAAAAGGTAATCAACTGTTCAAGAAAGTTCCAATTGTGGCGCAGGATCAAGAGCTAGAGATTGACCTCTACGCCTTACCGCTTAAGGCAACTGATATCGTGTTGGGAGTACAGTGGCTCGAAACACTTGGTGTAATATCCCGTTATTTTATCAGTATAAATTATGTTTTAGTTCCGATATAATAACGTTGTTGATTATTATTTTCAGAATTAATTATTGTCAGTCGAGATTACCGAAATTTATTTTCGGCGTACCGTTTACGTCCGGAATAATTTTGGTAATTAAGTATTATGTTTAATTAATAATTAAACATAAGCTAGTGATTAATTAGTAAATTAATCACATTTAAAGCTTAAGAGCCGTAGCCTTAGAGTGTCGTACGGATAGTGCGTATGTTCTCAATTTTCCCAAATATTTCCTAATCTTTAAGGAAGCAATTTCCTTCCATATTTCAGCCTTGCACGTGGTTTAAGTGGGATAAAAGTGGGGTGATTAGTCACCCATAAACCCACCTCAGAATTTAGCAAATGGAAGGAAAAGAAAGGGCCACGTCTCACCGTCTCACCACCCCACAATTTCCATCCTTGTCTCTCGGTTTATAGTAGGGTGTTTGGCCAGAATTTTCCCCCATTTTTCCTATACTAAGTTCAGCATAATTCAGAGAGTGAGAGGGATTGATAAATTGTCCAAATTTTCCATACTTCAAGCACGGCAAGTAGCAGGCACCACACCGCAACATCACCTCCACCGTGCGCACAAGCCTAGCCACCGCACCAAGAGCATCCCTTCGCCGAGGTGTAGTCGGTTTGAGATTTTAGAGGTAAAATACCAGGTTTCTTTTGAGTTAATTAGGTTAGTAATTAGTTAGCTTAATCGGGATTCAAGTCGAGTTCATGTTGGGGTCTTGAACCGTCCGGCCGTGTGCATGTCCGTGTGTGTGGGTGTGCGTCCGGATTGAGTATATGAAATTATTATGTTTATTTCAGCGACTAATTGATTAAGTAATTCAAGTTCACCTCTGAATTGGTCATTCTAATAATGAATTGGTTCCATTTTGTTGAAGTTTCGGGCCAATTGGCCATGTAAGTTCGTGAGTGTCCGTGTGTGTGTGTTCGTAGGAAGAATTGAGTCAAGGCATCATGTTTATTTCAGAAATTTGACAGTAATCAGACCCTATTTAACCCAATCATGTGATATCATGTTAGTAATACAGGTCTCGTTTATATATTGGCCTTGCGCCGTTCGGCCGGGTGCACCCGTGTGTGAGGGTGTCCGCGGTTAGAAGTCATATGAAGTCATCTTAATTGTTTCAGAAATCCTTTGGTATAGACCTTAGTTGGTTCAGCTATGTGATAATATGTTTAATTGTTCGGGCTGCTCGATAGTGGTTTGAAAATTTTGTTATTGGGAAGCTCGGCCGATGGAGTGGCCGCGCATATCGCGCGTGACCGCCGGCCGCGCTAAGCTAGGTTGTGGGTTCAAGTTGTAGTCAAATTGTTTTATAAATGATGTTGCTTCAGCCATTGTATTTAAATCAGGTCAAGGGATGATAAATGGAGTCAGTTTGGTCGGGAGTCAGTGCCGGACGGCCGGCAAGGGTCGGCCGTGGTGTTGCGCTGCCTGCACATAGCGGCAGCAGCGCACCGGCCCTCAGTCACTGCGCGACGGGCAGCGTATGCGCAAGCTAGGCTGCGTCCGTGTTGCCTGTGCGCGGTAGCGTTGCGGGCGACGTCCAGTAGCACGCCCGCCAACGGTTGTACACACCCGTGTGCGAATACCCCGTCCAGTCCCTGCTGCGGCGCGCGGTAGCGCCCCGCAGCGTCAGATAGTGCCTGCGCCCGCGCACATAGTGCGGGGCAGCATTCAGTCCAGCACCCGCATCGTCCAGTACACGCCACGGCCAGACCAGACAGCGCCAGCGTGCGCAGCCTCGGCAGGCCGCTGGCCAAGCCAGCAACCCACAGTCCGGTTCAGCGGACCGACCGTCCGGTTCAGACCGGCTGGACCGGTCCAGTCCCAAATTTTACGGTTTAATCCGTATTATAAGGTTTCAGCCCCGGTTCTTAATCTCGGTCTCAGTTTCAGTTAAAATTCCGGGTCCAGTTCAGTCCAGTAAATTGATATCAGTTCAGTTCCGTACTTAACCGGTTCCAGTTATACCGACTAAGTCCGGATATCATGTTAAGCTGAGTAGAGCATCTCAACCTAATTAATCAGTTAAATTATCAGTCTGAGCATAGTTCTTAGTAATTGTTTATATTATTTTTCAGTTTGATCAGGCATCAGCACTACCTGCATTTTCAGCTATTCAGGTGGGGACTCAGACTAAGTACTACATTGATTATAATGACGGTACCATGTTTGAGGTATGTATATTCAGTATCTGCTCGGAATGGTCGCCGGTCCATTCTGAGTTCTAGTGGCCCTAGTCTGCCCACTAGAGTGTGCACATGGTGTCCAGCTTTGCCTGCAGATGTTCAGGTTCAGTTCAGACGTGACTTATGTCACGAGATCAGTATCAGATTATTCAGACCGGTATCAGATATCAGTTTCAGTTCAGTTATATATGCCAAGATCATGATATTTAATTATTTTCACTGTTTTACTTTAGTATGAGTTTCCACAGGGCACAGTGTTTGGTGCTCACTTCCCACTTATTTCATGTTTTTCAGGTCACAGGGTCGGGGACGAGGAGTGAGCTGACGAGCTGTTCAGGACATTTGTTTTGTCATGTATAAATTAACTATGTTTTGTCCACGCTACTTTTCCGCTAAAACTTTCAGTATTTGTAAACAGCTTTTGTTCCGACGTTAGTCGGTTAAGATATTATAACCGCTTTATTTTCAGTTTAAATTTTTAACGGTTTTCAGTCAGATTTTTATGGTAGTACTCCGAATCAGTTCTCGCAAAATAAATATTTAATTAATTTATTCAGAAAATTTGCGAAAAACGCGTACTCTGATAGTATTGAAATAGCGAGGTGTTACAATTGGTATCAGAGCACGTTTCTGCGTCTCTGAAAAGTTTTATAAGTCTGAAATTTCAGAAAAACCTGAATCGTCACGTTCACTCCTCACCGACTATAGGTAAGTGCTGATTTATTTTCAGTTATAAACATATTACTATTGTCTATGCTCAGAAATTATTAATCAGAACTTAGTTAAGATGCTCGAATCAGGATCAGACTATAGAACTCAGTGTACTCAGATATAACCCGAGACGACTTTAGAATTTATATCAGTATTCATCGGCCATTTATGGCGACTCGTCAAGAGATTTGTGTGCTTTAGTAATCATTCCGAATGTTATCATGTATTCAGTAATGTTAAATTTTCCTCAATGTTCAGATGCCGCCACGTAGGGAACCCGATCATCAGGCTCCTACTCAGGCTATGGTAGTCGCTCAGTTCCGCGATTACCACGCCGAAAAGTTCTCAGGGCAGGGAGATCCCCGCATCGTATATGAGTGGATTCAGGGGTTGGAGTTTATCTTTGAGGTTATGGACTGCCCCGATAGATATCGTGTAGTTTGCGCTCAGCTTCAGCTCACGGGTGATGCTAGGCTCTGGTAGAATGCCTACTGGAGCATGCGTCCCGGTGAAAAAGCGGGTTGTACATGGGACATGCTCAAGGAGCTAGTCCGCGAAAAGTATTACCCCTCCTACTATCGGGCAGAGATGGAGCGTCAGTTCTTAGCGCTTCAGCAGGGCACTCGTACAGTTGATGAGTACGAGCGAGAGTTCACTAGGCTTGCAGCTTTCGTACCGGACCTGGTTCGCACGGAGGCTCAGAGAGCGCAGCGGTTCATCGACGGGCTTTTCCCAGCAGTCCGTCATAACATCGTGGGACCCGGGACTCAGACCTACGCTCGTGCAGTTTCTATCGCCCAGGAGGTGGACACTAGTATCAAGAGGGAGGCAGTTCGTGATCGTGCCCAGCCATCTACTCCAGTTCAGCCATTCGCAGCTCCACCAGCTCTACCAGCTCCTCAGCCGGCAAAGGAGAAGAAGAGAAAGGGGAAGGGTGCACAGACTGACCGGAGGACCCGACAGAGACAGCAGCCGATTCCACCATGCCCGACATGCGGACGACTTCACAGGGGGGAGTGCCGTGTGGGAGAGGACATCTGCTATTACTGCCCCGAGCCAGGACATTTTGCGAGTCGCTGTCCGAAGAAACTCCAGCAGTAGCCCCAGCAGCCTCAGCAGCCACCACAGCAGCAGCAGCCACGTCAGCAGGCACAGAGGCCGCCTCAGCAGCAGCAGCAGAGGGGCAGACAGCAGGCCAGGGTTTATGCGGTTGATCAGGCTGAGGCAGCACAGCAACCAGGTACTATGTCAGGGATGGTTGTTCTCAATGATATTCCTGTGTTTGCTTTATTCGATACTGGAGCGACACATACTTTCATATCACGACGATGTCTCGATGCCATCGGAGTTCATGCCGTTACCGCTGTCGATCCTCTCGAGGTAAGTTTAGCCTCGGGACGAAAGATAGTGACCTCAGCTAAAGCCTCAGATCTTAGCCTTTCCATCGGTGGCCGAGTATTGACTGCCGACGCGTTTGTTCTCGAGATGAGGGATTTCGACCTTATTCTCGGAATGGATTGGCTATCCTTCTATCATGCAGACATCAGGTGTCATGGCCGGGAGATTACTCTTTATCTTCCGGGAGATGAATCGATCACTTTCTTCGGTTCCAGGAATCGTTCACTGCCTCATGTTGTTTCGGTGGCGAAAGCCACTAAGCTACTGCGACGAGGCAACTGCCAGGGTTATCTAGTGAGCCTTGTCGACGATTCTCAGAAAGCGCGAACACCTCATGATGTTCCAATCGTTCGCGAGTTTGTGGATGTATTTCCAGACGAACTTCCAGGAGGACCGCCTAACCGACAGGTGGAGTTCTCTATTGATCTCATTCCAAGGGCCAGTCCAGTTTCTAAAGCCCCATACCGTATGGCGCCTAAGGAGTTGCAGGAGCTTAAAACTCAGATTCAGGAGCTGTTAAGACTCGGTTTCATCCGACTGAGCGTGTCACCTTGGGGAGCACCCGTCCTCTTTGTCAAGAAGAAGGACGGATCCATGCGCATGTGTATCGACTACCGGGATCTTAACCGGTTGACGATCAAAAACAAGTACCCGCTTCCCAGGATCGACGACTTATTTGATCAGTTGAGGGGAGCCTGTGTGTTCTCAAAGATTGACTTACAATCAGGCTACCACCAGCTGAAGATTAAGGAATCAGATATCGCTAAGACCGCTTTCAGGACTCGTTACGGCCATTACGAGTTTGTCGTCATGCCTTTCGGTCTCAGCAATGCGCCAGCAGTTTTCATGGATCTTATGAACCGTATTTTCCATCCCTACCTTGATCAGTTTGTTATTGTCTTTATTGACGATATTCTTATTTACTCGAAGAGCCAGAAGGAGCACGAGGAGCATCTGAGGGTGGTTCTCGAAACCCTCAGACGAGAAAAGTTGTTTGCAAAATTCTCCAAATGCGAGTTCTGGCTCCAGCGAGTATCCTTTCTGGGTCATGTGATTACTCAGGCAGGTATCGAGGTGGATCCTTCCAAGGTCTCAGCCGTTCAGAACTGGTCGACACCGAGGAGTCCGTCCGAGGTTCGCAGTTTTCTCGGTTTAGCTGGTTACTATCGCAGGTTCATCGAGGGCTTTTCCAAGATCGCCCTCCCTCTTTCCCAGCTGACGAGGAAGTCTGTGAAATTCGAGTGGACTGATCGTTGTGAGCCGAGCTTTCAGGAGCTCAAGAGGAGGTTAACTTCAGCACCGGTGTTGACTATTCCCGATCCTTCTCGGAGTTTCACTATCTTCAGTGATGCTTCGAGACAGGGCTTGGGATGTGTCCTTATGCAGGACGGACAGGTCGTTGCGTATGCTTCACGTCAGCTTAAGCCTCATGAGCAGAATTATCCAACGCACGACTTGGAGTTAGCAGCAGTCATTCATGCTCTCAAGATCTGGCGACATTATCTTTACGGCGGACGTTGCGAGATTTTCACAGACCATAAGAGCCTGCAGTACATCTTCACACAGAAGGAGCTCAACATGAGACAGCGCCGTTGGCTCGAACTTGTCAAGGATTACGATTGTTCTATTCAGTATCATCCGGGAAAGGCGAACGTCGTCGCGGACGCCCTTAGCCGAAAGGTGAAGGGTGACTTGACGTACGTCATTACGCAGCAAAGTCCGTTGATTCAGGAGTTTGCCCGGATGCAGCTTCAGGCGATCGATGCACTTTCCATAACCGTTTCAGGGAGTACCAGTGCCAGTATTAGCGCTATGCAGCTTCAGCCGACGCTAAGAGAGAGAATCCGGCGAGAGCAGGCTTCTGACGAGTTTGTTCGTGTCATGGAGGCCAAGGCTCGCGCCGGGGGCGTCAAGGATTTTCAGCTAGGTACCGATGGTGCCCTAGAGTTCAGAGGCAGGATCGTGGTCCCGAAGGTTGAAGCGTTGCGGAAGGAGATTTTTTCAGAGGCTCATACCGCACCCTATATGGCCCATCCCGGGAGCACGAAGATGTATCACGATCTGAAAGGGTCATTCTGGTGGCGAGGCATGAAGAAGGACGTCGCCGAGTTTGTCAGGAGGTGTTTTACCTGTCAGCAAGTCAAAGCTCCGATCGGCCTCCTGCGGCCACTGCCGATTCCGAGGTAGAAGTGGGAGGAAGTCACGATGGATTTCGTTACGGGATTACCGAGGTCGTCTGAACATCACGACGCTATTTGGGTCGTGGTCGACAGATTGACTAAAATCGCTCATTTCTTACCCGTTTCGATGAAGATGTCTCTGGATAAGTTGGCTGAGATATATACCCGTGGGAACATTCGACTCCACGGAGTGCCCGTTACGATCGTATCAGACAGAGATCCCAGATTCATCAGTCGATTCTGGCACAGTTTACATGAGGCGATGGGCACGAAGCTAGAGTTCAGTTCAGCCTACCATCCGGAGACAGATGGTCAGTCAGAGCGGACTATTCAGACGCTTGAGGATATGCTTCGCGCTTTGGTTGTTGACAGGGGTGCTAAGTGGGAGTCACTGTTGCCGTACGCAGAGTTCGCGTATAACAACAGCTATCATTCTTCTATTCAAATGGCTCCTTACGAGGCACTTTACGGTCGCAAGTGTCGTTCCCCTCTTTATTGGGATGACGTTTGCGAGAGACGAGTACTCGGTCCGAAGATGATCGAGGAGACAGCGGAGCAGGTCGAGTTGATCCGGAAGAGACTCAGGACAGCTCAGAGTCGACAGAAATCTTCAGCCGATCATCATCGACGAGACATTCAGTTCGAAGTTGGCGAGCCAGCTTTTCTCAGAGTTCGTCCGATTCGCGGAGTCGTGCGATTCGGAAAGAGAGGGAAGTTGCACCCTCGATTCATCGGTCCGTTCGAGGTTCTCGAACGAGTAGGCGAGGTCGCGTATCGATTAGCCCTACCTCCCGAGTTATCAGGCATTCATAATGTGTTCCACGCATCTATGTTGCGTAAATACGTGTGCGACCCCGATCATGTCATTCCTCATTCAGATATTCAGGTTCAGCCAGATCTTACGTACGAGGAGCGACCGGTAGCCGTACTAGACCGTCAGGTCCGGAAGCGAAATATTCCCCTCGTGCGCATTCAGTGGGATCGCCACGGAGCTACTTGGGAGGAGGAATCCGATATTCGCGCTCGTTTTCCAGATTTTCAGTTTTGATGTACATATTTCATGTTCTATGTACCCAGTTCATGTATTATCAGTTATGTTTGAATTTCCGAGGACGGAAATTTTGTTAGGAGGGAGGATTGTAATATCCCGTTATTTTATCAGTATAAATTATGTTTTAGTTCCGATATAATAACGTTGTTGATTATTATTTTCGGAATTAATTATTGTCAGTCGAGATTACCGAAATTTATTTTCGGCGTACCGTTTACGTCCGGAATAATTTTGGTAATTAAGTATTATGTTTAATTAATAATTAAACATAAGCTAGTGATTAATTAGTAAATTAATCACATTTAAAGCTTAAGAGCCGTAGCCTTAGAGTGCCGTACGGATAGTGCGTATGTTCTCAATTTTCCCAAATATTTCCTAATCTTTAAGGAAGCAATTTCCTTCCATATTTCAGCCTTGCACGTGGTTTAAGTGGGAGAAAAGTGGGGTGATTAGTCACCCATAAACCCACCTCAGAATTTAGCAAATGGAAGGAAAAGAAAGGGCCACGTCTCACCGCCTCACCACCCCACAATTTCCATCCTTGTCTCTCGGTTTATAGTAGGGCGTTTGGCCAGAATTTTCCCCCATTTTTCCTATACTAAGTTCAGCATAATTCAGAGAGTGAGAGGGATTGATAAATTGTCCAAATTTTCCATACTTCAAGCACGGCAAGTAGCAGGCACCACACCGCAACATCACCTCCACCGTGCGCACAAGCTTAGCCACCGCACCAAGAGCATCCCTTCGCCGAGGTGTAGTCGGTTTGAGATTTCAGAGGTAAAATACCAGGTTTCTTTTGAGTTAATTAGGTTAGTAATTAGTTAGCTTAATCGGAATTCAAGTCGAGTTCATGTTGGGGTCTTGAACCGTCCGGCCGTGTGCATGTCCGTGTGTGTGGGTGTGCGTCCGGATTGAGTATATGAAATAATTATGTTTATTTCAGCGACTAATTGATTAAGTAATTCAAGTTCACCTCTGAATTGGTCATTTTAATAATGAATTGGTTCCATTTTGTTGAAGTTTCGGGCCAATTGGCCGTGTATGTTCGTGAGTGTCCGTGTGTGTGTGTTCGTAGGAAGAATTGAGTCAAGGCATCATGTTTATTTCAGAAATTTGACAGTAATCAGACCCTATTTAACCCAATCATGTGATATCATGTTAGTAATACAGGTCTCGTTTATATATTGGCCTTGCGCCGTTCGGCCGGGTGCACCCGTGTGTGAGGGTGTCCGCGGTTAGAAGTCATATGAAGTCATCTTAATTGTTTCAGAAATCCTTTGGTATAGACCTTAGTTGGTTCAGCTATGTGATAATATGTTTAATTGTTCGAGCTGCTCGATAGTGGTTTGAAAATTTTGTTATTGGGAAGCTCGGCCGAAGGAGTGGCCGCGCATATCGCGCGTGACCGCCGGCCACGCTAAGCTAGGTTGTGGGTTCAAGTTGTAGTCAAATTGTTTTATAAATGATG